AGAAAATGCTAATATCAACATTCAGTGAAATTTTCAAGTTTCTTCAGCCATTCGTTTTTTAATTACAACAAAAACAGAAAATCGTTACATGAGAAATCGAGTGAATATCAAATGTTGTAAAAATATGAATTTCAAACGCTCATAAAAATTTAATTTGACTTTCTACTAAAAATTTTTTTTTTGATAAAGGTAGACAAACTTATGAGGAATCTTGTATTAAATTTTAAAATCTTAGATTTAAAAACAAAATTTTTTATGAATTTCTAACTTAAAATAATTTCCAAATGTTCGTCATTTTTACGTATTTTGTCAATATTTGAACTTTATATACTTATAAAAAAAAACTGTGACTAAGGATTTTTAATTTTTTTCATCTGCCTTTGAAACAATATACTAGGAGCTTTGTATTAAATTTTCAAGTTTTTTTAACCAACAAATAAAATTTTATTGATATTTATAGAAAAAAAAACTAAAAAAATTGAAAACTGACAATGTCCGTAAACAGTTCAAAAAGAGTCAAATTAATTTCAAAATTTTACCGTGTATAGCAAATGCAAATATAAACAACCTGTGAAAATTTCATATATCTACGGCCATTTGTTTTAGAGGTACACCAAAAACCAAAATCGAATTTGTTAAAAATCGATTTTGCGTAAAAATTCCCGTTTTTCCTTAATTTTTTTTTTGTTTTTCACGTCGCTTTTAAAAACTACTGGGAAATTTTTACTTTTGACTCCCCAAAGTACCAACTAAATTCAATTTCCAATCAGAAAAGTTGCTGTTGAAGAAAATCGAAGCAGTTTTACTGTCCTAAAAGGTGATGACAGACACAAAAAAAAATGAAAATAAAAAAATAAAAAAATAATAAAAAACACACATCATTGTAAAATCAATACATTCATCGTTCCACTCAGAATCTAAAATGCAACAGTCAAACCAAATAGCTAGAGAACGACTAATACAATGGAAAGTGAAATCTAAAAAAACAAAATGATAAAAAAGTGCACAGTGAGGAATATAATGTGTAAAATTGTGTAAAATTACTATTATGCATGAGTATTTTTGGTATTGGGTAATTGTACGGTTTACACTAGGTAATTGGGTTTTAAATAAATATAAAAGTCGCTTGTTATAATCTGTAACTCGTACATTGTATAAACTAGTTCGTCAGTCGATCTGGTAATTTCAAGATAAGATATACAATGATTGCACGGATATATAGTAATATACAGATAAAGATACTAACAGCGTATGATCCCGTTGACAATTGTCTGCCAGTCTGTCTTACACCTGCAGTTGTTGGTAGTTATTGACATACTAATACGTTATTTTATAAAATAATAAAATATGGAAAAAGTATTATTTTATGAAAAGCTGCAAGAATATTATGTTACGAAGCCGAAGAAAAAACCTTTTAGTCAAGAGGAACAAATTCAAATTATCACCGAGATTGAAGCTGCTAAAACTAAAACGTAAGAATTTATTTAATTAAATAAGTAAAAACCATAATATCAACATTACAAAATATGAGAGAAGAGAAATAACACGAATGGAATTTATTAAACGTATGTGCGCTATAATTATATAAAAAAAAATTAAATATCCAAATAATTGTACCTATATTTATTGTGTAAATTAATAATATAATGTAACTTATATAGCGTATGTAATAATATTGTGAATAATATTATCAAACTTTTAGGTAAGAATTTTTGAGAAAAGTTGGATTGACAAGTTCAAGACTTCCGAATAATTTTGTACAAACTATTACGACTGAAGAAGAAATTGAAGAAATTGAGGAGATTTTACAATGTTCAACGGTTAATTATACATGTGGTATATGTAAAATTGAAATAAATGAAGTGGAAAATCAAGATGAAGCTGGATCTATTATGTGTAACTTATGTAGAAAAAAAGAACAGATTAAAATGCAACGAAAAAAGGGTTCTGATGGCATTAAAAAATTTGCTGAAAAAATGTTGCAGATAAATTTTTAAATAACACAATTTTAAAAATAAAATAAAAATATTTATTATTCTCTTTTATAGACTAGTCATGCAGCTCTTCTAGACCTTGAAGTTAATGATTGTGTGGTAATGGCCGTTCCAAAAGTCGACAGAGGGCCTACAGATCCACCAAATATTATATGTTTAGTTGTTGAAAAAAAAAATGAACTGTATAAGGTTGGAACTAAACATGGAATGATTAAAGGATGGTATGGAGGAGATTGTTTAAAAAAATGTGAGACATTTTTAAAGAGTGACGAGATTGTGTTGGACAAAGAGCTAACTGTTTGAGAAACTGTGACTGTCATAACAGGGGGACAAGGCTTTTCTTCTTGTTCATGTAAATCGAAAAGCCCATGTCAAACATCAAGATGTGCCTGTTTTAAAAAAAAAATGTTGTGCAATAGTCGTTGTCATAACTCTCAACCTTGTAAAAATAAATAATAAAATATAGAATTAAGTTTAAGAAAATATATAATCTTAATTATAATTATAATTAATTATTTTTAATTTTCATATTTCTTTATATTTAAACTTTAAAGGCTATATTATATTAATAGTAATAGTAATTTTACACAATGTGGATAAAATGAATTTCATCCACTTCATGAAGAGGTTAAAAAATTGTCCATATGGTGTAGTGTAAAAAGTCATTTTCATGAAATGAGCGATTTCATCAAATGGATACGACGTATATACATAATTAAATAAGCTTAATCATTTAAACAGATAGAGAAATAAGTAATAACTATTATAGATTACTGATGATACAGACCGTCAAAGGGCAAGGAATAACAAACGACAGAATGTTGGGAACCACAATCTTTTATAAAAATGATGACAAATTTACGATTATAAACGTATCGGGCGAAACCGATGACGAGTATAGTTTTACGGACGAAAAAGATAGTAAAATGGTATCACTTCGAATAAAATGTAATTTAGTAAGGGACCCACCGTTATTCGAGGCGAATTTATCGGAAAGACCGCTTACTTATTATTTACAAAAATCATGCGTACTGTTTGTAAGAAATTTCGATGGTACCAAGCACAGGTTAAAACAAATTCCGGTAACATAAAATTATCTAAAATTTAGGCCAGAAAATTAGTCAGCACAAGTGATAGTCGAGTCTAAAATTGAACCAAATAACGAAACCATTTGTACTAAAAGCCAGATTTCAGACCAAAACAAAACTACTAAAATAAATAGCGAAAAGCTAAAATCCGAAAAAAATATCACAACCGAAAGGGTAGGGACAATATCAGAAAAGGGGGAAACGATTTACCCAGCGAGTTACATTATAAAAGTTCCAACGAGAACAACAGAATCACCAGTGTCTAATGACAGTGATAGGTTTCGTGAGGGAACCGAGGAGATAAATTTAAATAGAACAGAGAAACCAGTAAGCATATTCGACAACAAACAGAAAATAAAGGATAAAAAGGGAGATGGACATCACGTTAACGAAAACAGTAATAAAATTGGCTATTTAATGTTTGTAATTATGGGATTAATAATAATGACGTCTATAATAATAATAATAATAATCAATTTAAATCGTAATTTTAAGCTTGTGCATAGAAGCAGGTATAGGTACATGATATACGCGTTATAAGAACATCATCAAATGATGGAGACGACCGTCGCGTTGGACCGTTCCGATTTCAGGTCTATCTGGGCAGAAGGTTCCGGATGTACAGGGTCTTGTCCAACTGGTTGTTCAACCCCAAAACTCATCCTCGCCGTCCATTCAGGTTAAGACTTAGGTTCTACCGTCAATCACGTCGGATATGCCAGCCAGGCAATTACCGAGTCAAGTTCGGGCTAAGTGTGGTCACTTGTTCTTAGCCGACCCGATGTTTGACAAGCCAGCTCCGGTAGAATTGCTCATTGGAGCTAATATTTTTCCCCAAATTTGGAACGATAAAAGTAATTCGCTTGGTCCAGGTTACCCATCCGTCTATAGCTCCATTTTCGGATGGGTGCTGATCGGCCCTATCCAAACTCATCCTGATGTGGGGGCTCAATCCATGCTTGTGTCGTTGGTGTCATCCATGGAAACCATGATGGAGAAGTTTTGGAGTGTATAGAAACCTGAGGTTGCTCCACCTCAGTTCACAGAAGACGGTTTGTGCGAAAAGGTTTTCGGTTCCTCATCCTTTCAGATCAGAACGGATGTCAGAAGGGTTCCCGGGATCACGACAAGTCGCCCTAAATCGTGTCCTCCAGCTAGAGCGCAAATTGGCTGCAGATAAGATTTTGTACCGGGTGTACTGCAAGTTAATGTCTGACTATGAAGAACTAGGTCATATGAGCCGTGCAGAAGGTGCCGGTCAATATTTTATACCGCATCACGCGATCCAAAAGGCTGAAGGAGACAACGTGAAATTGAGGGTAGTCTCGACGCTTCAGCCAAGTGCCATTCCGGGCTTTCCCTGAACCAGTGCTTGTTGGTTGGGCCAAAGCTCCAACAGGATATTGTTGACGTGTTGACCGGATTTAGAGTTCATAAGGTGGCATTCACAACGGACATATGCAAAATGTACCGTCAGATTGACTTGTTGCCACAATACAGAGGGTATCAGTATATCTTGTGGAGAGATTCACCGCAAGTAACAGTCAAGGAGTATACTCTCAATACGGTCACATATGGGGTAAATTGTGCTCCATATTTAGCACTGCGCGTCCTTCAATATATTGTGGACACAGATTGCGAAGATTTTCCAGATGTACAACGTGCTCTACGTAATCAAACGTACATGGACGATATTTGTGTTGGCGCAGAGTCTCTAGAGGCTGCTCAAGTCCTTCCAACGAACCTGATCCGGTTGCTAGGCCGCTCTGGTCTGGACTTAAAGAAATGGGCCAGCAATTCTTCTGAGCTTTTGAGTAATCTAAAACTGTTCGGGAGATCCTCTGAATTTTGATCAAGACAATTCAGTACAAGTATTGGGAATGCGTTGGAATCCGAAGGGTGATTTCTTTTCGTAGGAATGATAGCTAGGATCTTCGACCCGCTAGGTCTGCTCTCGCCTTCAACTTTCTATGCGAAAACAATCATGCAACGTATGTGGCTCGCACAGGTTGACTGGGATAGTCAGATTCCCGAGGATATTGTGAACGATTGGTGTGGTTTCTATCATTCCCCGAGTTGATTGTGAGAAATTAGAATTCCTCGTTATCTGGGTAGCTCTACTGGTTGTAGCTACGGTCTTTGCGGATTTTGTGACGCATCTGAAAAGGGTTATGCTGCAGTGGTGTATCTCCGCGTGACTGATCCGTCCGGAGCTATAGCTATATCCGTTTACCTTATGGGTGCTAAGACAAAGCTAGCCCCAATGAAAGCCATGACAATCCCACGTTTGGAATTGAGTGGTGCGGTACTCCTCGCAGTAAGGTTAGGTAGGCTCAAGCGTATTCTTGTGTCGCAGTTGGTGTTGTCTGCTGTTTTCGCGTGATCTGATTCGTCCATTGTGCTAACATGGCTTAACAACCCCCACACCTCGTATAAGACGTTCGTTTCTAACAGAGTCTTACAAATTCAGTCTACGTTACATAGTTGCAGCTGGCGGCATGTTCGCTCTGAGGTGAATCCGGCCGATTGCGCTTCGCGTGGGCTCCCTCCTCCCAAGCTCCGAAAATGCAAACTTTATTGGAAGGGTCCCAGTTTTTTGAACTTTCCAGTTGAGACTTGGACTCAAGATTTCTCATGTTTAAGTTTGGAACATTTGCCAGAAACAAAGCCAGTTTGTTTGGTGACACGTGTAGAACCACGCGTTGAATGGTCCCTTCGATTTTCGTCTTTCAACCAGATGATCCGAAGGACAGCTCAGGTCCTTCGGTTCATCCAGATGTGTCGTAAGAGAAGTGTCGAGTTAGGCTTCCTAAGGCAGTCTGAATTGAACGCAGCTCTGCATGTTGTCGTTAAGGACGCTCAGAATCGCTACTTAAGCGAATTGGTAAACAATCTGCATAAAGGGACTACCATTCAATTCAAGCCTTTAGCTCACCTCTGTCCGTTCTTAGATCCGGTTGATCTGCTTCGCGTAGGTGGTCGTATGCAGAACTCAAATTGGTCAGAGCGGCGAAAGCACCCTATCCTGATCCCGAAAGAGTCCTACTTGGCTGTTTTGATTGCTTGTCATTGGCATCTCTATGCCTGTCATGCTCGACCTAGATTGCTAATCGCTCTGATTCAACAGCAATTTTGGATCATTGGGATCCGTCTTATAGTCAATCGGGTAATTCGTAAATGCTTGATTAGTGCAAAGATGTCAGCTGCTAATCCACAACCTATCATGGCAGCTCTGCCAAGCTTCCGGGTTCAGGAAGCTCATCCTTTTTCGATGGTGGGGATCGACTATGCAGGGCCTTTGCAAATGAAAGAAATCAGTTTGCGAAAGGCGCGTATTGTGAAAGTTTATATTGCAATATTCGTCTGTATGACTACTAAAGCTGTGCATTTGGAGTCCGTAACTGCTCTGTCTACGGATGCATTTCGATTAACGCTAGATCGGTTCGTTGCTCGTCGTGGTTTACCGACCAAAATCTATTCAGATTGTGGCACCAATTTCGTTGGTGCAGGTCGTCAGCTCAGACATCTAGTTAACCACCCTGATAATAGAGATCAGTTAGCGAGTCATATCGCGTGTGAATGGCACTTAAATCCTCCGGGTGCTCCCCATTTTGGAGGAATCTGGGAAGCGGCCGTTAAATCCGCTAAGTCCCTGCTCTTGCGTGCCATGTCTTCCCAAGTTTGGACGTTGGAGGAATTCACAACAGTTTTGTGCCGGGTAGAGGCAGCAATGAATTCACGCCTGCTTCACCTGATCCGAATGACCTCGAATGCTTGACACCTGGTCATTTTTTGATTGGTCGCCCTCTAATGTCTATTCCGGAACCCGTTGAGGCTGACACGCATATGGGACTACAGATTCGCTGGAAGCTCCTCCAGCAGTCTTGTCAGTTCTTCTGGCGTCGTTGGTCCCGTGAATATTTGAATACCCTCCAAGCTCGTGGTAGGTGGACAAAATCTGAGACTAACGTCGAAGTTGGCACTATGGTTATCATTAAGGTAAATGATAGTTCCCCGCTCACGTGGCCTCTGGGTAGAATCATTGAGGTTTATCCAGGTCCAGATCAGGTGGTCCGAGTAGCTAAGGTTCTCACTAAGCAGGGGGTGCTCAGCCGACCTGTTGTCAACTTGGTTCCCTTACCTACCGACCCATAGTTCTTTTTTATTATATGCTCCCTCACATGTACACACTTTTTATTTATGTATGTATATTATGATCATTAATTAGTTAATAGTTTGATTATCCATATCGCCTGCTACCACTGTTGTCTTCAACTGCTCCGCCTCTGGAACTGGCGTGTGATGGATAATATATGTTCAGAATATCTTTTTTACAAACTCAAGCTGTGAGTATTTTAATTGTTAATATTAAGTATTTTGTTTATTCTGTTTATAAATATTGAGACTGATGGTAAACCTTGTGATAATTTTACTCGGTTCCTTTATTATGCATGCATTCAGGATATATTATTTATTTATTGTCAATATTGCTATGTACTCACGTCCCGCCATAAACGCATAGGCTAGATAGCGAGGGGGACATAATATGAGAATTATATGACACATTAATATGACGCATTGGGAAGTTGTCGACCTCGGGGATTTAAGAACAACGACGCAATAAGAAAGAGGGTGCGTAGTTCTGAGAATCAGACCACCGAAAGAGCGTTGTTAAAATATAAATAAAAAGAGTTAAAAACCATAAATATCTATGGGCATAAATATTAAATATAATATTATTTTATTATAATTAAATATCCGTCAGATAATATAATATCTAATATGTCGGCAGCGATAACCGAATAGGAGGCGACCGTTTCCTGGAAACCCACGACCACACACGTGCAATCTTAAACGGGGTCAACGCTATCTCATAGCTAGGAGTAGAGTGGAGAGTAGGCCTATAAAACAGGGACCCATCCACCCGATATTCAGACGTGATTTACCAGAGTCAGTGCGAGCACCTTCACGCCAGTCGACTCTCTGACAAAATTTCAGTGTATTAAAAAAAACTGCAAGTGATATACACCTTATAATGTAAATTTAGGCATCAATAGAGTGCAATAAAAACAAGATGAATAAAATGATGAAAAACATTGTACAAAAATGAAAATAGAAATCCAAAAACTACAATTATTACAAAAAATATTAAGATCTACAGGTGCATTCCAAACAGTCAAATCAAATCAGCTTTAAGGAAAAAATGTATATTATCCGACAATAACCCACCAACAGTCTATAATATTATTCAAAACTAATTTAACATATTGGTAAAACTGCAGGGTCAACAATGGGGAACAAGCTTAAACATTTAATCATACAATGAATAATAATAAACTAGATTATATATATTTATGTGTTAAAGACCTCCCATTATGATCATAAATTATCAAATTTTTACAAATAGCTTTTAAAAATTAACATATAGTATTAATGGAATAACTTGATAACAAACATTTTTGAATACAATTGCTTGTCCCAATACTTGTCACTACACATAAAACAGGGGATATACCTATCATTAATTGTGCACTAGCCTATTAATGGACATTACAAATAATAATCCTCCTTAGTTCTTAGATGTTAAATCAAATCCAATTTAACACCCCGCATAATTTAGTAGACACAAGGATGATTCTACTATGAAGAACATTTTGGAGGGACGACTTAGCATGAAAACCAAAATGTATGTAAGTAGTATATATTTGTATGTTCACAGTTCGTTTTTCCACGGTAATTTTTTTTGTTCAAGGGGGAATGTTCCCCTCGAACGACTCAGAATTACCGTATTACACAATACGGTAATTTCACACTCAGTGTCCAGAAATATGGCAGTAACTATGAGAATGGGAGTGTCAACAGTGTCTGAAATAGTTCATGAGACATGTAAAGTTATTTGGGAAGAGATGGTTGAAGAGTTCATGCCAGTCCCCACAGAAGAACAATGGAAAAAAATAGCAACTGATTATTACAAGCGGTGGAATTTTCCGAATTGTTTGGGCTCTATTGATGGCAAACATTGTCAAATTAAATGTCCTGCTAATTCCGGTACAAGTCATTTTAATTACTTAAAATATTTTTCGTTGGTATTACAAGGTGTAGCCGATGCAGAAAAGAAATTTATCACCATTGAGGTAGTGGCAAGAGGTAAACAAAGCGATGGTGGGACATTTGCCTCTTCATCGTTATTCAAACATTTGGAATCAAATAGTTTAAATATACCACCGAACCAAAATCTACCAGGAACAAACATTGAAGCACCATTTGTGTTTATCGGAGATGAAGCTTATCCATTAAAATCGTACTTATTAAGACCTTATCCTAGTCGTAATTTGAATCAAATTAAAGAAAATTTTAATAATAGATTATCGGCAGGTTAGGTTCGGTTATGGTTTAGGTATGCATAGAATGCGTATTTGGAATAATGAGAACAAAATGGAGAATTCTAGGAAAAGATATTGAGGTTGATTCAAAGAGAGCTGCAGTAATAATAAAATGTATTTGTATTTTACATAATTTGATAAGGACAAAAGATGGGGATAATGATATTGACTATTACCACATAACCCAAAATCAAGGAAGTCAACAAAACGAGATAGAAAATAATTTTGAAGGAAGGAACCCAAATTATTCACAACAAGCAAAAGAAGTGAGAGAAAAATTCGCAAATTTTTTTATAGAACATTAATATACTTAATTAATAAAACAGAATAAAATATTTAAATAATAATATACGCATATTTATTATTACCTAGTTACAATATTAGTTTATACTTGTCTAATTTAATATTTTAATTTATATTATATTATTATTTAAGGATATATCATTTCAGTTTTGATTATTTAATATTTTAATGTTACAAAACATTTTTCTGCAGTTTAACTTTGTACTATCAGTCAATGTAATTATCACTTTAAAAATAACTAGGTATTGTTGTACTATTATTATTTTAGGTCCTCGATAAAAATAACTATTTCGTTTTATTTTATTTTGTTATATTTTTAACTTGTATTTATATTTTATAATTTTATACTTAATAACTTGTACTACAAAACAAAAATATAATTATTATTTTGTTTTCAAGTATTTTCGTGTTCAGATTTGTATTATTAGTAATGCAAAAATAATATTCTAAAACCAGAAAGTAAAAATAATAGTTATACATAATATGTATAATTAATATTTTTAATATTATTCATATAAGATACATGTTCGATGTACCTACGTAGGTGGGGTAGGTTATGTAGGTATTCAAACAATAAAAAATACTAGCTTCTGGCTATTTTATATCTATATATTTTATAAAATACTTAGCAGAAATGTATTGCCAACTACTAACTAGTTACTTACCTGTCAAACCACAAATTGCACCCACTTCAGCCCATATTTTTTTGGTTTTTTCTGTGTTTTTGTAATCTTTTAGTCGATCATTCCACAAAATTGGTCTCAACTGAACTTCGGAAATTAGATTTTCCCTTAGCGCAGAAGTAAATTTATACTGACTCATTGTGTATAATTGTTAAGTTAAGAAAAAAAACTAGTAATAATTGAACGGTTTCACGTTTCATATGAAAATAAAGTGCATATTGCTCTGAAAATGATGACAAATATTAAACATGATTAATATTGATCGCGTCGCTCGAGCATCGCCGATCGCCGTCGCCCGTCGCCATCGACCAATATAAACACTTCCATTTGGAACTATGTGTTAAATATATTTTAGGAAATTCCTTGTCGCTCATCGCTCGTCGCTGTCGCCAGTCGCTCGCCAATGTGAACCCAACCTTACACAAGTCAGCGTATACGACATTTACGCGCAATACATTCCTCGCATCATGTTTAATAAAATATACTAAGCTAATTGCTAGTAAATATAATTAATTCCTAAATTAAAATCAGTATTGCTAAATATTATACATTTATTAATCTTAATTAATTGAACAATCATTATTTATATAAATCGTTATAATAAATCACTTGTTTAAATTAAAATTGTGAGCTATTCCTTGTAATGAGTATTGTGAGTGGTCGGTTTTCGAAATCTTCGCATATATGTAACATTTTTTTTGCTGTATCTTTATACTTTGATTTTGTTGGTGGTACATATCTAGCAATAAGCTTTTCGGTTGTCATCTTATTAATATTTTCTTCTTTTTCTAAAGTATTAATACATTTCCATATAGTAAGATGTGAAGAAGTTAAAAGAGCAGAAAACCCATTATGCCAACCTTCGATATTGTTATTGGTTCTTGGGAGATCGTCTTTCAGACGATTAAAACAATTCCAAAGATCAATTGCAAATAAGTGAGATCTTCGTTTTCATCTCCTGTCTAAACTTCCAATCCATGTACATTCGAAGTAAGATATTAGTGGCAACAACAGCTCTTCCTTTTTTGTATAAAATTCATTTTCTAAAAGACCTTCAAAGTATTCTATTACCTTTTCTATTGGAACGAAGGCAAGAGCAGTCAATTTCTTCGACTCCAGAGCAAATACAGGGTCGTAAGTTCTAAACTATTACATGTCGAAAAAATTAAAATTCGGTCTTCAAAATGTCCAGAATCAGCTCTGTCAAAAAAAATAAACTGCTCTCCACATAATGTTTTTTTAAATGAATCTGGTATTTTTAAACGTAAAGAATTTGGGTTGGCTAGAGCAATTTGTTTAATTTGGCGTACTCACTATATTGTTCTTTTTAAAGCACAAATCTTTTTAATTTTGTTAAAATTTCATATTTAAAACATCTACTATCGTAATTCATGACGTTTATGATTGCTTTTTTATAATTGATTGATTTTAGTAATTTTATAAATGATAATCCCCCCAGTAAATTAACTTTATTTGTTCTTAATTGGAGACCATCTAAACTAATTTGCCTCCAAGAGGAACCCTTCAGCAGAAATGACTCTTGTTCGCTTAGTAATTTATCATACATATTTTTTAAAAGGGTTGATAAATTTGAGGTAAAATAACATACAACATTTTTTGTTTTAAAAGCAACATCCCTTACTTCGCCCGTGATTAAATTTTCATAAACTAAGTCTACAAATAAATTAAATTTATAGGTGGATGAGGAACACAGTTCTTTTAGTTTTGGTATTAATGTAGAAGATGTAGAATTTAAAAATGATAATAAATCAATAAGATTTTCGCTGTTTTTAAAATAGTAAGTTTTCGAGCGATTATTTTTAAATTTCTCAACTTCAACTAAAGCCCCCCCCCAGTTGTGTTTAATCAGTTAATTTTTTTAATACGATTATATTTTACCATTTTTAACTACAAAATATATTAAATTACTTATGTGTGAACTGTTGACTGAAGTAAATCGTTGGCGTAGTTGATTATTGGGAACACTTGAATTACATAATCCTCATCGGGTTCAGCATATAAATTGCGGTTATCACAAACAGTGGTGTATTTTTGGCACACCATACACCTCCGTCTTTGACAATATATTTGTAGCACATTTATATCCTTAAACACAATATGGAATGCATCGAAACGTAAATTTAATAGATTTGTACCAAAATGTGTTTGATTGAAGTGGTCAGCACATTCAAATGAACAAAATATATCTCCAGTATTATCATCAATTGAATATCGAACTTCCCTCAAGGCAAAAGATGAATGTAACTGGCGAAAATATTCATAAACATCACGTTCACTATGAGTAAACGGATATTTTACAATATGTTGAATTGTGATTGGTGGTATATGACTAAATGCATTAATGAGATTATCATCAGGTATCATCACTGCTAAAAATGATATAACATGATATTAACTAGTAGTCACGCAAAATTCGCTCCGTGTTCTTTCACGTTTTTGGTCGGAAAAAGTTGACCATTTTTTGAATTTTAAAATCCTACATATGTAAAAAAAAGTGCGTGTGTGATCAGGTGTCGTTGTTGAGTCTGATCGCTTAAAGTATTTTCCGTTAAGGACCGTTTTCTAGTTTTCTACATCACAACAGACTTATTAAGGTAATAATACTATATTATATCTTATCGTTATATTTCCGTCAGTCGGTCTGCACAGCGCACAAACGCGATAATAGTTATCCGGCACGTGTCAAGGTCAGATTGAACACTCCGTGTCAGTAATTTAATACCTTTAATAATACGGAACAGCGTTATCTTCAATTTGGAATCGTTACATATTATTATCGCTCTTTTTTTGTCACATATTTGCTGCAAATTGTGTTGCCCATTCAAGTCATTCAAGGCAGTATTTTTAGTTTAGTCGTTGAACAATTTATCTGTCCTGCCTTGTCATGAACCCGACAACTAAATCCAATATTTCTTCTAAAAGTAGCCCATTAGGAAGTGGTCCTGTTCTTCGTAGTGCCTCAAATGGTAGTACATCTACTTCGATGTCTAAACGGACCAATAATACTTATTCTAATGATGATTTAATGAAAGCTATTCTTGATATGCAAAATTCTCAATCCGTACAATTTCAAGAACTCCATGGATGTTTGACCTCTTTAAAAAATGAAATCTCTGAACTTAAAAACGAGAATATAGCACGTCGCTATGAATCGTCTGCACTTTCTGCTCGAGTGGCTCAGTTGGAATCAAAACCGGCCGTTACTTCGGATTCTGAAGTGTCGTCAAAACTACTTCGTGAAATTTCTGAGAGAAATTCTTCTGAATATAACGTAATTATATATGGTCTTCCTGAGTCGAATTCGCCTTCAATTAATCAAAGAATCTCTGATGATTGCGCTGAGCTATCTAGTGCTTTGTCACCCATTCAAATTGATTTACCTATTGATTTCAAATTAATTCGCCTTGGTAGTAATAAGGCCCGGAAACCTAGACCGATAAAAATAATTTGTAAGTCAAAAGAAAATGCAGCTCAACTCTTATCCGAATTCAGGCAGGCAGTTAGAAGTGGAGGTAGTATTCGTGATGGTCTTCGAATAACCCGAGACAAGACTTCGTTGGAACGGGAGATACTCCGTACTGCTCATATAGAACTTGAAAATAGAAACAAATCAGGCGAGTCAAATTTAGTAATATCCTATGTTAAAGGTGTCCCTACGATTACAAAGTCACACTCAAAAAACGGAGTCACTGGTCGGGATTGAGACCAGTGAATAATCAATCATACCTAAATGAATTACTTAATTCTAATTTACACGTTTCTTTTAATCCAACTTGTAATAAATGTACTGATGCTAACCTATTGTTTGATAATTTTTTAATAGAATTTACTGATTTTATTAAAAAGCATACTAATTCCAATATTCCTGTTAATAATATTAAGTCGCATATTTATTCAAATAATAATAAAAATAAATTATCTTATAATTTGCAATGTAACTTTCCTAGTATTAGTCTTAGTTCTAAGTTTAATCTTAAAATTATGTATCAGAATGTTCGTGGGCTCCGGACTAAGTTACATGATGTAATATCTAATTTTCCTATACTTAATTATGACATATTTATACTAACTGAGACTTGGCTCTCCTCAGATATTGTGGATGCTGAATTAGGTCTTACTGGATTTATAGTATTCAGAGCTGATAGAAATGTATATACCAGTACATGTACTAGAGGTGGTGGGGTCTTGATAGCGGTGAGACAGACATTATGTCCCTCTTTATTATGTTGTGCTGTACAGTCAGTCGAACAGCTATTTATTAAATTATCCTTATCTAAGAAATGTTTATTACTAATATGAGGAGTATATATACCACCGTCAGCCCCGATCGAGTTATACACGGCACATGCTGAAACTGTTGATGAATTGTGGCAGTCTTCTGGGTGTAATATGGGAATTATATGTGGTGACTTCAATTTACCAAATGTTAATTGGCATAATAGTGTTTCGGGATTGTCATTATCGGGTACCGTTAATGATAATGTCAAGGCAATAGGTGATATATATCGTTTTTTAGATTTTTCTCAAAATAATTCCATTAGAAACCATATTGGTTCACTCTTAGACCTTGTTTTCACATCTGAAATAGACATAGTTGTTGACACATCACCAGACTCATTAGTAACGCCAGATAAGTATCATCCACCATTAAGCATTACATATTCCATGCCCGATGTGCCACCTCAATTGGATGATCAACACTCATTTCGTAATTTTAATTGTGTCGATTATAACTCGATTACTAATAATATGAGCTCCATTAATTGGGAAAGTGAGTTTGACAATCTTGGAATTGAAGCTGCAGCTAGTCGTCTACAAACAATTTTAATAACGTTAATTGAGCAATATGTACCACTCCATATATTTCGTCGCTCAACTTTCTCCAAATGGGTAACACTCAAATTGAAACGTTTAATCATTAGCAAAAAAATTGCACACAAAAAATTGAAACAGTTCGGCACAATGCACTATCGTCATAGATTTTCTTTATTACGTGCTCAAGTAAAACTTGAGTCAAGGCTGGCATATGAGTCCTATCTAGGTAAGATAAATACTTCCCTCCAGAATGACCCACATACATTTTGGTCGTTTATCAATAATCGCCGAAATACATCAGGTATCCCTAATGTGATGCATTATGGTGATATTATTGCATCAGATATAGATATTGCAAATCTATTTGCACTTCTTTTCAATTCCGTTTACAAATCACCGTTACCCCCTCCACACTGGAATACTGAAAATATTGGCATTAAACCATTTACATTTTTGCCTTCTAGACTTACTATTGAACTTAATGAGGTCGAAGAAAATTTACTATCCTTGAGAACAACTAAGAGTCGTGGGCCTGATGGTATATTAGCCCAATTTTTATTTAATATTAGGGCACAGTTAAAATATCCTCTTTTGTACTTATTTAACCTCTCATTAGCCGAAGGTATATTTCCATCAATATGGAAAACGAGCCAGGTAACACCTATCTATAAATCAGGAGACCCAGGGTCAGTATCTAATTATCGTCCAATTTCTGGTTTACCTCTAATTGGTAAATTATTTGAAAAAATTGTCCATAAATGTATTGAACGTAAATTTAAACTAGTCTTATCAACAAATCAACATGGGTTTTATGGCGGTCGGTCCACAACAACTAGTGCCTTAGAATTCTCAGCGTTTATCAGGGATAGCTTCAAAAACATGAGTCAAGTTGATGTGATATTTACTGATATTTCTAAAGCTTTCGACTCCATAAACCATATAGTGTTAATTGATATTCTAGATAAATTGGGTGTAGGTGAACCTCTGTTCTCCTGGTTCAAATCCTATATAACCGGTCGACGACAGTTTGTATCCTTATTTAATCAAAAATCCGCGGAATATTTAGTCACTTCCGGAGTCCCACAAGGTGGGCACTTGTCTCCACTTCTATTTAATATTCTAATAAATACTTTATGCGAATCTGTTGACATCAAAATGCTATTATTTGCGGATGATGTAAAATTATTTAATTGCGTTCAATCTGAGAGTGATGCTATTTCGTTACAAGAATCGTTGAATAAGTTAGTCAATTGGTGTAATACAGTTGGGTTAGAGCTGGCAATCCACAAATGTAAAGTTATGTCTTTTTCGAGACGTCACTCAATTATTCATTATGATTACTCTATTGATAACGTGATATTACAGCGAATAAACCAAGTTGAAGATTTAGGTTTTATTTTTACTCCAACGTTATCGTTTGCACCTCATATTGACTGGATAGTAGGCAAAGCATTGAGATCATTAGGGTTTATAAGGCGACATGCAGGGTCGGTCATGTCTGTAAGATGTTTGTTGATATTATATACTTCTCTTGTTAGATCGATTGTAGAGTATGGATCTGTAGTATGGTCTCCAAGGACCAAATGTGACATTGTTCGAATTGAACGTGTTCAGCCTCGTTTCTTGAATATGGTTTCTCGATCTATGGGCATTAATCATGAACCCCACGACTATAAACCCGTCTTAATAGCACTCAATTTATCCACCCTAAGCGAAAGAAGAAATATGAGTGACATTAAACTTTTGAATGGCTTAGTCTCTGGTGTAATTGACTCCCCAGACTTGTTATCTAGAATAGGTTTTCGCATTCCAGGTACAACCCGTTCTCGTGACCCCTACTACCTTGCTGCAGTATCCAAAAATTATTTGGATGATGATCCTCTAAGGAGAGCTATGTCTCTAGTTAATAATCATACTAGTTAATCATTTTTTCTAATTTAGGTTTGTTCAGTTATATTTAATTTTCAGGAGCCTACTATGTACTACTATATAATTCTAATTTATTGATATTCAATGTGTTATGTTTAGATATATATATATGTGTAAAATATATTATATTGTATATTCATTAATATGTAATATTTGAAAAAGCTGTATGGCGTTTAAAATACAAATAAAAATAAAAAATAAAATAAAAATGAATAATAGATTATAATTTTAAAAATGAATATTGTATAATTAATTAACATACAATGACATATTCATAACACAAAAGAAACTGCACACT